ATCACCGTCGTGGAGAGTAAAAAACACTTATTAGGGTTCCAATTTCGCATCCCTTATTACATTTGACCTGGCTGAATATCAGCAGTTGTCATTGTTATAACCCTTGATTAGAGCAAAGTCACTGGCTAGTAAGATAGTCGATCCAGTTGAACCCTTTGACTCATTTGGTAGCGGTCAGCATCGTAATTGCCCTTGATCACGCTCAAAGTCACCTAGATTTTCCGACAATGCCTCGACAACACCGTTGGATTATCGAGGTTGAGAGATGATGTCTTTTTGGCGTATGCGGGACAATGTGAAAGCGACATGTCAACTTTACAGAAGGGTCAGGGGGTATCAAGATTACTGATGCCTATCGCCTGAAGTCCTGATAATTTAGTTTTCAAGGCGCATTTTAACTCTGCATTTTCGTGCGGTAACTTCAAAACAGTCCTTCTATCCGCCGGCTGAGACCTCGTGTGTTTTGTGCCTGCTGTTACCGGGCTACTGCTGATGCCTGAGATCGTCACAAGACGTTCACGTTGTATGAAATCGTCTTGTGTAGCGTCGTGTGATCTCCCCCTTCTGCGACTGCAACTGCGAGTTTAGTGGTTGTTTGGTCACTTGACCTCGCAGCGTTCTGACCTCTCCGGCCAGGTGGGGCTATTGAGTCGTGATAGGGTGGAAGTAGTTTGCGCTACTCGTCTTTGTATCTCGATGGGCGAGCCCCCTCCCCTCCGGTCATTTTTGACTTGATCAGTAGGTCTGGAGATCCCTGTGACCGTGGTGAGGACCAATTACGTGGGCACACAGCATTCTTCCATACAGGTCCCGTCTCGGTACCCTCGTGGGGCAAAAGCAAAGATTATGTGACTGTCTTTCCTTCGCAACAAGGAGACCACTGTGTTTGACGGTAGTTGTGTGTCTCCTGGATATCCCTAGGGCTCACAAATCCTATCCTCTGTGGACGAATCCGAGTTTCATGGGTTCATGCCTCGAGTCGTGGTTAAGATGGTTTCTCAGGATTCCATCCTTTTTCTTTCTACATTTCTACTCCATTTACACTTTGATCATATCTATTTCTTGTCTTAAATTATTTTCTGAAGGTGTTTTACCTTCCGGCTTCGCGATTATTTTAACAACTGCAAACATTAATATTTTTAAAAAAATACTTAAACATGTGAAATTCGTGTTAAACACGTGTTTTAAAAGACAGACTTGTGTGGACTTAAGTGCAGAAAACGGCATAAATCTTATGATTTGTACGTTTGCAGATTTTTTTCCGAAATCCTTACCTTTTAATCGAATAGTTCACTACCCACGGATGCATGCTACTTAAATATCGTTGGTAGCATCTTTCGTTGCTGCCACCACCACCTTGTGTTTCCCTACGTGCCTTCCCTTTAAGGTTTGGAGCGGAAGTTGGATCACTCCATGACACTAGAAGGGGTCTTGGGACCGATGGAACGTCTTATGCAAGCAATGCATGATTCAGCAGCTGTCTACGTGGTGACCCGCGGTATGCGGGAGATCCGTGCCATCCTGACTGGTCGTATGGTCGCTTTCGACCGATACTGGAATCTGGTTAGTTATCTGGAGCTTCACTTTTTATAGACCTGCTACATTTTAGCCTCATTAATAGTGTAGTTTACCAATTCTATTGACCAGTCTCGAGGCTTTTTCATTGGTTCACTGACAGAGGTCAACGCTATCGATTTAACTGTCTTAACTGGGATAAATCCCGGTATTTCTTCCCTAGATTTTGGCCGATGTGACTGAGTACAAAACGGTAGCTTACCCCAAATTGCAAAGTGTGAGTTGTTTACTTTTTAATACGTTTTTTCTCATACAATAAGTTGCATACTTTATGGCTTCCGGGTTCTCTCTCAGTACCCTAGGGATAAAACTTTTCATGCCTGTTTAGGAGGGCTGATGGACTGTTGCCACAGGAATGATATGAATGTAACAGAAGGCCACCGAGATGGTGACAGAAATTGACAGAAAACAGAGGACTCACACGGTTAAACATGTGATTGAGCATTTATTGTTCCCTAAACATTTAATGTTTGGTGATTTGACCTTTTTTTATTCCAGAATGAAGGCCCTGGCAGGCGACGTCGCAGACGACGACGTCGAATTCAACAAGTGATGGAACGAATGGCACAACGCAACCACTCAGTCTCCAGTAGAGAAAGTGAAATCATGCCCTCGGAGTCTCCTAGACTGGATGTGGAGAATGAGAAACAAACAGCTTCCACGCAGTTTGACGATCCCACGGGGTTCAATGCAGTCCTCGAACCAGTGTGCAATCGGTATGGGCAACTGTTCATTCGAGGTGCGAATATCGTGTTTGTTCGAATCCTACCCACTGCCGCTACTACTGAAATGTGTGATAAGTAGCGTGGCACTGTAAATTACGCAGAATTGTTTCCTGTTTTGGTTTTATTGATGTGTTTGGTAGATGTGCTATTTTTTGTACTGATTCTATATTATCATTGGAATGGGGCGGAATGTGACTTCATTTTTCTTTTTCCTTTTTTGGTAGATGGACATTTAAATTAGTAAATTTGTGGGCGGAAATGATCTGAAACAGAACAGATTGGGTGCTCTACTAACGGACATTTGGTCGTACTTCTTATTGGAGTAGAGAAAATGGCAATTTATTGGTTTGAATTACACGTCAAAATGATACCGCAGTTGTCTACTGAAATAGAAATAAGTGGGGCTGTGGCGGGATTTCTAAACGGTTGTCTGAGGTGTATTGTTTAATAGGTAATGTTAACGAGAAAGTCGAGTCACTTTATCTGGTGCCCAGCGTTGACTAGTCATTTACCTATGGACGAACAGCTTTAATCAGGTAGTTAGGGAATTACTTATCTTTGGAGACTTAAATGGTAGTTAACGAGCCCAATACCAGAGCTGATTCTAGTTAAGAAAGCGGAGTCGAACGCCAGATGGCTCAATTCCACCCACTTTTTTCTTTTAAATTTGTGCAAAATCCGCATTTCTAGCTTATTAAATACAAGCACATGACAGCTAAGGACTCGTTTAGGAACGGGAGCTTCCTAAGGCACTTTACAAAACTATGTTTAATTACGAGTACAAAGCCGTTTATTTCATCCGTTAAGGATCCATTCAACTCAAGTAACAAGGGCGTGCAATCAAATTGGCAGAAGGCAGCGGGGCAGCATAGCATTCGATGTAGAAGTTCAGGTTCTGGTAAGTGTCTTATCTACATATTTTCACCTCTGACAGATTGTGTTTTCGATCAGCGATATGATCTTGCAGTCTTCAAGCTCTTCTGAATGCTAAGTGGGGTGGCTAATTATCCCCTTCAAGAAGGACTCAGGGGGCCAAAGCTGAAATCAACAAGTAACTATCCATACCTATAAACTTAGTAGCTCTCCATCATGATAACCTTTTTTAATTAGTGAAGAATTCCGTGGACCAAAAAGTGAGACAGAGTATGAACTGCGACCCTTTCACAGTGTCTTTTGTTAAAATGCGCCAATCGCTGTCAAGACCTTTCCTCGACCGACCAATCAAAAACTTGCCTTAACCAACCAATCAATACATGCGACTTTAGTGATTGGTGAGGAGACAATGCACACAATGTCAGTGAGAGGCGTGCTTACGGTTGATCATGCAACCGCCGTTAGACGGATCATGCCATGAATAACCGACAGATTGCATGAATAACGCAGAGGGTAACGCCCCTGTCATTCTCCGATTAATTGGAGGCAAGCACTCTACCAAATCTGGCCAATAGCAGAGGGAGTGGCAGAAAATGACAACGGATGATTGGAGTCAATGGAACTCACATACGAGGCAGAGGTGAGTTCCACCGAGTCTATGCGTACCCTCATTCTAGTGTTTAATTGGGTGGATTACAGCTTAAAGAAATTTTATTTTGTGCTTTAAAGAGTTGCGATAAATGCTTGCCTCTTGAAAGTACCAAAATGCGCTTTAACAGCAAATCCAGGTGTTGACTTTCTTTCGACCTTCTGACTCAGATGATTATCTCGAGGTCTTGTCGCGAGTAGCCTTTTTGGCATGAAATATGAGGTCTTGTGCCGTTCTGCAAGACCAGGACCTGCCTCCGACTGTTTCGGAAGGAAAAGCGGACCTTTTCGGTACAGGTTGATGCCACACCTAATTGTCTAGCCTTCAGGAGGAAAGTCAGTGTAAAAACTTCTGCCTTGAGCTCAACACACCCAAAGCATGCGTGGTCGCGATTTGTGAGGGCGAAGAGTGTACGTCTTAGAAGTTAAGGCCAGTGGTATCACCAGCACCCCTTACTTGAAGAAGTCGTCTGTTGTTATGCCATGTCAACCAGTAACAACTGCAGGGACCCATTCTGTCACCCTCTATTTAACGCTCCCCATCGAATGTAATCAACTATCCTTAGTCCGACTGGCTTTAATCACTTTTGTGTCTCTTCTCAGAATGACAGAAGAAGAGCCACTGGATCAGCTCCCCATCACCGGTTACGACTACTCCGTGGGTTCATTGACGGAGGAGGAGTACCGCCAATGGATTGAGCACACCTTTCTTCACATGTTTCAGTCCTACGATCAAATCGGTGGCATTCCCTGCCGTGAACTACTCAACCGATTTCAATATCGGGGCTATGGGTTGCCGCAAGATCGCAGAAAGGACCTCATGCTCTACCTGGATGCCAATAGAGATGGGAGGATCACTTATGAGGTAATACCGACTTTTTTGCAGCAGAACTCTGTTGAACACTTGGGTTATTGTAAAATTCCTGATGAAAATTTCCCAATAGAATTCCTCTTATTATTACTCCCAACCTTGAATATGGCAGTTTTTTAAAATCGGAGCGTCACATATGTGTGACGCTTGTGTGGAATGTGAGAAAATTGTCCGACAGAATGAAAATTCTCCCGAGTCTTGTCAAACACTTTGTTCGCTTGTTACTTGCTTGGTCTATTGCATAGTGGAACGCGCATTTGTTTAAAAATGACACCTTAGTAGCCTTTTTTTCTGGAAGAAACCGAGAGTACCTCCAGACAAACGACATGCCAAAACCTGCTGTGTCAGTACATGCCAACAAAATCACTTAACAGAATCAGCGTGAGATTTCAGAGTGACGATCGCAAAATAAAGCGTCTCGAATTTGGTATTGTGATCATGTAGCAGAGAGATAGAGCGATAAAGTTTAGGTAGATTTCGCTGTCCAACTTGGACATTTCCATTCACTTCGAATAGCAATTCCGCGCCGTCCTTGTACACAAACGATACCTCGACCTGTCACCATACCAACGAGTCGCCCTGTGCGCCCTTCTGGCTGCCAATCCGGGCTTGCGATTAGCCGCTGCCAGAGCTCGTGCTATCAAACACCTTCAGATGCTTGACGCAATCGGCCGTGGTGCTGGTGATGACGACAAGGTTATCACTTCGGAGAAGCTGCCTAACGCGATAACGGGATACGCTGGGAACTGCGATGATGACGGTAATGGAGACGGTGGTGCGATGTTTAGACTAGAGCCCGATGGTGTGTGGCCAACTTCAAGGGCCCGGCTGGGACGAAGGTGTCAACCAGGGGAGGCTCTGACCATTATGGAGGAGGAGTACATTCCAGAGTTCTACTTAAAGGTGCTGAAGTGTCTACCACCTCCGATTTTCTGTTCCGTGGTGGTCCTTGTTCAGGTGAGTTTTTTACAACCAAACGAGGCATCATTTACATTCAAATTGTGGACACAATCGAACCGTACTATCATCATCACCACCATTGCCATTCTAGTTAGCTGTCTTCATCTACTATGCAGTGGAGCTAAATCGTCGAGCTGAAGCCGAGCCAGCGAATGCGTTGACCTGGTCGTCAGGATTTCCCTACTTCTCGCCACTTTTCTTTGACCCACGTCGACGTCGAGAAGTTTGGAGGTTCTTTACTTACTTTCTCGTCCATCAGGTAGGCTTCCTTACATTTCTCCACTCTCCTTGACAAAGTTAAGTCGAACTCAAGCCTTGCAACATCGACACATATGGAATTGAAGCTGGTTAATCTGGGAAGAGTGTCGAAGGAGAAGGGAGATAGGTAGATAAAGAACGGGACGAAGTGTCGGGCACCCAACAGGTGTATTACTGTGTAAAGGGAAGGAGAATGGATGGGTACGGGATGGATAGAAGTGTATGGAATGGATGGAGGGATGAATACGGGATGATGGATGCGGGACGGATAAATGAATAGAGGTGGATGGATGGATACGGGATGGATGAATGGATGGATGGATGGACGGAGGGGTACAGGATGGATGGGTGGATGGAAGGATGGGTACGGGATGAATGAGAAAATGGAAACGAGACGGACAGATGGAGGGATGAGAGGCTTTAAAAGTAGTCGATAGAAGAAGGAAAAGGCAGATTGGTTTAGTGGAGCCAGGTGAAAATAAGGACAGAGAAACTTACTGCAGCAAGATGGATTACTAGCCCGCAGGATGACCACAGCCCTTTCCATCACCACTGAACAGGGTATATGGCACGTGATCTTCAACAGCCTGGTGACTCTCCTTTTGGGCAGCCTAATGGAATGGGCCCAAGGAACGTGGCGGGTGGCAGTACTCTACTTCCTCGGGGTACTGGCAGGCTCTCTGGCCACTTCGGTGTGGGATCCCAGAACCATCGGCATCGGAGCCAGCGGCGGTGCCTACGTCCTTCTCGGTGCCCATCTCGCCCTTACGGTGGTTCATTGGGAGGAGATGAAACACGACTTCTTTGCGGTGGCTCGTGCATCCACGGCTGCGAAGCGGGCGATGGCTGTTGCTGTCTCTGGAATTTTTAGGGTAAGAAAGTGAAGAATGCCCAACTCTAGTCTGTCTTTACCTTTGAGAGATCCTGAAAGTCTGGATTCGCTTATGTATCTTTGGATGACACGCACTTCAGAACACCTTGAAAGATTTTGCATGACATTTCTACTTGCCCCTTCTGCTCTCAAGGCTGAAGGTTATATCAAAGCTAAGAAGGTGCTGGAGGCCTGACCATTTCATCAAATCCTTCGGGGCTCCCTTTACCTTGGGAAAACAAGAGGATCTGGGCTCCAGCTCATCACTTGTCGACCCAAGAGCTCTAACACATCCCTGAATCCTTATCGTCTGCTGTTGCCACATTTTCGCAACCCTCGAGAGCTTTCAAATACTTACCCATCACACTCTTCCTCAATAAGTCTCTGTCAGTAAAAGCTGTAGAGGGATTCCGTGGTCTTGAAACTTTTTGTTCACCCAAAGTCCGTTGCAGTCAGGTCATTCCTCTCCAGCCAGCCATAAGTATTTAACAATGCGAACAAAATCAGGTGCTACAGAATTACGCTTTGAACAATTAATCAACATTCTCCTTTCTTCCTCTTTCCAATCCGCCCTCTAGGTCTGTCTGATCCTCCTCCTCTGTGCAGTGGACTTTGGAATCGCGTTGTACGAGCGCTATGGCCTGCCTGACGCCCCGCTGCACGCGAGCTACTCACCTATACCCGCAGGTCTCATGACGGGGGTGTTGGTGGGTGTGCCACTGTTGCGCTATTTCCACGAGCGGCCATGGGAGCGGATCGAATTCTGGGCGTGCTTTGGTGTATGCTTTGCCCTCTTTATCTTCACCATCTTCTGGAATATCTTCTGGCCTGGATACCCGACTCAGAAGATCTAGACCCTCTGTGAAGGACTAAATGTTTGCTTTGAAGTAAGGGAAGGAAAGAACATGTCTTTTGATGGGGAAAAAAGGTGGTTGATTGGGTTGGACTGCGGTGCTTTCATTAGGATCCATCCATCCCGTACACATTCATCTATCGTGTACCCATCCGTCGTGCGCACAATCCAGTCAACTGTCTCATCCATTGTAACAACCGGAACTAGCATTTTTGGTGTCATGTTTCAAGGAGACCAGAAAATACGATGAATGCTACCTTTCTTAGATCAGTAACTTATTCAGAAAAAAAGTAAACCCAGAGATTCAAAGTGATGCATTCTATCTTATGCTTATAGAATTACGTCACCCCACCCTTCACCCCCACCTCAGATGAGGTCAAGAAGACTAGAGTAGCCTCGTGCATATTTTGCAGTGCACTCAAGACCTACATATCCATGCTCTTTCTGCAAGTTGCCTCCTTGCAAACACAAAAAAGTAAAAATGGATCCTTGAGGCCCTTCTAGTCACTCTCGTACTGCTGGTACTCTCCAATCAAGTCATTGACATTCGTGAATGCCTCATCAAACTCCGCCTCGTCCATACCCTCCGTGATGTACCAATGGATGAAGGCCCGCTTCTTCAGCATTACCGCAAACTGATCACATACTCGTTTGAAGGTCTCCTGAACTGCCGTTGTATTGCCCACAAATGTGGCGGACATGGACATGCCCTTGGGTGGCACATCACAAATGGCCGTCTTGATGTTGTTTGGGATCCACTCCACGAAGTAGGCCGAATTCTTGTTCTGTACATCGGTGATCACCTCCTCCACCTCCTTCACTGACAGTCGACCTCGAAACATGCCTGCCACCGTAAGATACTTCCCATGACGCGGATCGCATGCTGACATCAAATTCCGCGCTTCAAACATTTGTGAGGTGAGATCGTGGACGTTGTAGGTGTGGTAGGCTTGACCATACCGACTGGTAAGGGGTGCAAAGCCTGGCACAAAAAAGTGAAGTCGTGGGAAGGGGATGAGATTTGTGCCCAATTTGCGTAGATCGGCGTTGAGTTGACCGGGAAAACGGAGACATGTGGTAATACCCGACATCGTTGCTGAGACCAGATGGTTGAGATCGCCCAGTGTAGGATGTTGGATCTTCAGGGTGCGGAAACAGATGTCAAAAAGGGCCTCGTTGTCCAAAGTGAAGGACTCATCTGACAGGTCTATCAAGTGACTCTGGCCCAGAACTGAGTTGTAGGGTTCTACCACTACCTCGGATATCTACATTGAGGAGAGAGAGAGGAAAAACTTTTATTTCAGAAAATTATCTTTGTTTTCTTGAATAAAGGAAGCATTATTAAGACAAAGAAAGGAAAGTAGGAAGACAGATCTAGCATTCCATGGTCTGATAAGCACTAATAAGCTCCAACATCGAGGTATAAGCACTGTCAAACTCGCATTCATCCATGCCTTCACACGTGTACCAATGCAAGAAGGCCTTCCGGCTAAACATGGTTCTAAATTGTTGAGCAATACGTTCGAAGCTCTCCTGAATTGCCGTGTTATTGCCAATGAAGGTGACAGCCATTTTAAGGCCCCGTGGTGGCACATCACAGACAGCTGTCTTGACATTGTTTGGAATCCAGTCCACAAAGAAGGCGGAATTGCGACTCTGTACTTGTTGCATCTCCTCCTCTAACTCCTTGATGGATAAACGACCTCGAAAGACGCTTGCTACCGTGATGTACTTTCCATGACGGGGATCGCATGCGGTCATGAGGTTCTTGGAGTCAAAAATTTGAGTTGTCAGGTCATGAATGGTGTGATTGTAATAGGTGTGGACGAATCTTGAGGTTAGCGGAGCGAAGGCGGGAATGAAAAAATGGAGGAGAGGAAATGGAATCAAATTGGTGCAGAGTTTGCGTAAATCTGCATTCAGTTGACCGGGAAATCGGAGACACGTCGTCACTCCAGCCATTGCAGCTGAGACGAGATGGTTCAAGTCACCGTAAGTCGGCTTATCCACTTTCAGTACGCGGTAACAAATGTCGTACAAGGCCTCATTATCAATCACAAAACTCATGTCCGAATATTCAGTCAAAAAGTGACTTGACAGTGTGGCGTTATACGGTTCCACCACCACATCCGATACCTACAAAGGGCACCAAAAAGACGTCTCTACAAATCAGGTTTATTAAAATCAAAAAAAGACTGAAAGGAGGAGGCGGAAGAGGTAGGTAGGTAAGTAAATTAGCACTCAATTTGTTGGTACTCTTGAATCAGTTGTGAGACATTTGCAATAGCCGCGGTAAAGTCGCACTCATCCATGCCCTCCGCTGTATACCAGTGAAGGAAGGCCTTGCGCTTCAACATGACCAAGAACTTCTCACCCAGACGGTAAAAAATCTCCTGAATCGCTGTGGTGTTGCCAATAAAAGTGACGGACATCTTAAGCCCCCTCGGAGGCACATCACACACAGCTGTCTTGACATTATTGGGGATCCATTCGACGAAACAGGGAGAGTTGCGCGATTTTACCGCCTGCATCTCTCTTGTGACCTCCTTGATGGAAAGGCGACCTCTAAACATGGCTGCCACAGTGAGATAGCGACCCATGAGGGGGTTACAAGCTGACATGATGTTGTGACGGTGAAACACTTGAGAAGTGAGTTCGTGCACCGAGTCCGAGCGATAGGACATTGAACACCGTGAAAGCAGAGGTGCGAATCCCGTAACAAAGAAGTGGACACGGGGAAAGGGAATGAGATTATTGCCGAGTTTTCGAAGATCCGCATTCAGCTGACCGGGGAATCGGAGTGAGGTGGTGATGCCAGACATAGTAATGCTCACAAGGTGATTCAAATCTCTATAGGTGGGATCTTTGAGCCTCAGAGTGCGAGAACAAATGTCATAGAGGGCCTCGTTGTCAATTACAAAGGTCTGTTCGGCCAGCTCGATGAGTTGATTTTGTGAGAGAATTGTGTTGTAGGGTTCTACTACCACATCGGAGACCTATGGAAATGTAAGGAGCCGGGGGGAGATGATAAGGAGGAAGCGGTTCGATTTCTTTTTTTTTGAAAGGGAACTGAACAATCCAGTGTTACTTTCTGGCTTCAACTGGCATGAAATGCTAGTCAAACCCATCTGATACAACTCCTCTTTCTTCCCTCGCTTCGAGATGGGAACTATGTTGCGGAATCTTGATAAATAGGCCGTCTGTGAAAGATTCTTGAAGGCTGTTTGTGAGAACGGATGATCAAACATGTAAATCATGAATAGATCTGCTGTTAACACGAATTCATTTTACACCTTCTTTATGCTTGTTGAGCGAAGATCTCCATTCCATCTTCCCTGTGGCTCAAAATCTTTGGAGGAAGCTCTAGTGTCCTTAACTCTATCTACTCAGATCGACAGTGACGATTGTGTCGTCAGGGTCACGACAAATCTCGATAGAATGGAATACATGCCACGTTTCAAACCAGTGATTGACAGAAATGCATGAATGGGCGGATAGATAGAAAAGGAATGGGTGGATAAACAAATGAATGAATGGATGGATACGGGATGGATGACAATCGTTGTTGACGTGACATCTCAAAACAGCTGAATATGATTTCCCCTACTTCAGATTCTTTTCGACAAAGCGACTGTCTAAGAATTGAACAAAAGTAATAAGAACTGCGCGATTCCATCCAACATGTGGACACATAACGGAAAAACATTACTTCAAAGCAATGAAACCTTACCTTAGGCGAAGGATAGCAGGAGAACGTGCACATGATGCGGTCAGGATAGTGTTCCCTAATCTTGGAGATCAGCAAAGTTCCCATTCCAGCTCCAGTTCCGCCACCCATAGAATGCACCACCTGGAAACCTTGCAGACAGTCGCAAGCCTCGCACTCCCGATGCACAATCTCCATGATGCTCTCAATCATCTCCGCGCCCTCTGTATAGTGCCCCTTCGCCCAGTTATTACCCGCGCCCGCGTTTCCGAAGGCGAAGTTGTCCGGTCGGAAGAGACACCCGTAGGGCCCTGAACGCACCGTGTCCAGAGTGCCCGGTTCAAGATCAGCCAGTACTGTTCGTGGTACCATTCGACCACCAGCCGCCTCCATAAAGTAGACGTGGATGCGCTCGATTTGGAGGTCCGAGTCGCCTCGGTAGAAGCCGTCGGGACCGATGCCATGCTCGTCTGCGATCACCTCCCAAAACTAGACGTGGTAAGGAGTTAGAAGTGAAGGACTGGGAATGACCCACCTTGGCACCGATTTGGTTACCGCATTGGCCGATCATAAGGTAGAGGATTTCGCGCATCTTTCTTTGAGAGGAATGCTTAGGAGGCTCTTGGGTGAAGGGCTACAAATGCTGCGGGGAGGGACTGTGTCAGCAAGAACAGTTGACACGCGGACCTATCGATTGACGGGAGGGAAGTGTCACGTGAATGTGAGGGAAGGAAAGACAACTTACAGACCATCTCACATTCGTAGAACTTGTTGGAAAAACGAAGAGGCCGATCAGGCAGGTGGACTTGTAAGCCAGACTTGAAACTACCTTGATATCCGTCTACCCACCGCATTCACACATGAACACCAAATGCCTGTAAGTTAAGGGTCAAAACACTTCGCTCCATTTTTATCGGTTCCAGAGGCTCTTACGGACTTGTGCTAACGGCTAATGTACCATCAAGAGGGCAAGAACGGATATTCATAGGGAAATATGAAAACAAACCGACAAGCAAACTCTTCCCAAAAGAAAGGAAAAAGTTACTGGAGAGAAGCATAGACAGCCTATAGTATTTATATACAAACTATAAAATAATCGTTGGGGTGACAGAGAGAAGAGCCAACCGATTTACGGTGGTGTGGCAGACGTCCCACGCATCGCATGCCACGCTACTCGCAGAGGCATCAGACCCTCCCTCGGCTGCAGCCATCTTGGGTGTCGCGGATCGAAATTGCATGCAGCGAGAGCGCGCAGCAGCCGACACACCGGCACCGACGGTAGAAGTAACAGCGGCAGCAGAGATTTCTGTCGTGTTTTCAGATCCGTTTTAGGTCGTGAGCGGAGAACGACCGCCCTCGCGGCGTGGTTGCGAGCGAGAGTCGCCAAAACCTGGCAAATGTCGCGTAGTCGTTCTACTGCCTGTGGATCGACCGAGGCATCGGAAGAGTCGAGACAGAGACGGAGGGCTATCTCGGCTGGGAGGTCATGCTGGAAGGAAATGGCAATGAAGCTACGGACACACTGATAGTTTTTTTTCTCAAGATGATGATGATGGTTCCATCAAATAGAGAGGAAGAGGAGGAGGAATCAATAAAGAAATTTGTACCAGAGTTCAAAGTTGAATCCAACTGATGATGGACGCCTTCGAGACAGTGATAGCGATGTGAATGAATCTGTGTTGATGATGAATCGTGCAAATTTTTCAGAGGGGCTTTTCAGAAGGGGGTTCAAGCTGTTTGAAAACGCCAAATTTTTGTTGTGAAAATGATAGTGATTAAGGTGATGGATGAGCAGAATAAATTTGTTGAAATTGTTCGGGATATAGGCATTGATGGAAGTGCTGGTACAGTCATATCCACAAAAGCGTGAATAAGTCATAGGAATTCTCATGTTGACGTCAGTGGCGATGATGGCAATGACTAACCTGGACGAGGAGGTCAGTGGGTAGAAGGAGGGCGCGGTATTGACGCACGAGGGGCACAATGCTGCGAAGGTGCGTAATGATGCCTTGAGCCTTCGCCAGATGCGAGAGTGCATGGTCCACCTCCAGGGATTTAAGACCTGTAGAAGAGCAGAATCAGCAGTCAGTAGAGCCAACTTGCTAGACAAAAGATATCTCTAGCCTTTCCCCCCTTTTAGCTTAATGTTATCACCGCAATGAAAAGCTGGACTGACGTAAATCCTGAATCCAAGGCAGATAGGCCGAGGATGCTAATTCCTTCCCTCACCTATCTATCCCCTATCTCCCACGGCGAGTCGCAATAATCATTTTAGGTTAAAGTACCTCGATCTTTATCTTTCTCTCTTCGTCTCCGTTCTTTACCCTGTCATCTACACAAATTAATCGACTAACATTCTCAAGATAGCCTACCTTATTACTTTGTCATGTTAGTTAGATTCTGTCGCTATAATGACAAAGTTGGATGACGTGGAAACGGATCTACACCAGACGGGAGATCCAAATCCGTCTTTAACAAGCCTTAGCAAACATGAAAAGCCTGAGCTAAGATGAGGATGACTGCTAATGGCAGGTGTATATCAGCAGTGGCGAGGCAGATCATCACTAATTCAGACAGGATCGACTTTGAGTTATTGTAAAGGTATGAGGAATTTCTGCTCTTCCCAAGTAATAATGAATAATATCATGAAATTGCGATGTAGCAGCATAGATGACAGCTCGGAAATTCGACAAACGAGGAGTATACAAATTTAGCAAGAAAGTCGATGGAGACATACCGAAGGCCTCAGCGAGACCGTAGTGGATGGGAGCGTTGGTTGACTCCGCGTACTCTTCCAACTCCGAGCAGTCGCGGAAGGCCACATCCCCGGGACGGTTACGCTAGAAGAGGCGGAAAGACGTTCGTAAGTAGACAGACAAACGAATACAAAGACAGGGATAGAGGTGGATAGTAGGAAATGTAGTGGGGCAGGTGTAGAAGCAGGCAGGTAGATGAATGGATAGAGACGAAAAGATAGATAGACACTGATGGGGAGATTTGAAGGCAGGCAAGCAGAGATTGACAACCGGATAGGTAGATAAGCAGGAGATCAGTCAAAAAGTAAAGCGATTAGGTGGATTGATGATCACGTAAACAGACAAATAAATGGATAATCCAAACTGATAAAGAAAAGCAAAAGTGGGCAGCTTGGGTGGAATAAGATACTAAAGGAGATTGAGAGATTGACAGAAAGCTGGATAGATGGATGGATGAATAAGGGAATGAATTGGCGGACAACTTATAGGTTAATAGACTAAATGGAAAACTAGACACATCAGGGATAGATGAATGAATGGAAAGGTCTATCTATAGAAGGATCCAGGACGGATAGATAACTAAATGGACGGATCCGAGATGGATGCACAGAAGGATAGGGTAGGGATGGGTGGAGTTTAGGGAAAGATTCGTAAGAAATGAGTGGATTCGGGATGGACTGGTACACCAAAAACTGAGTACAGCGATTCACCCGAGCATGTAGCAATCGGAGTAGCCAATGTCGCGAGAGACAATCGTCAAACCGGTTCACTGCCCAGTCGAGCTCCGCCTCAATAGGTGAGCGGTGTAACATGCCACTTGTCACTCCTCGAGAGTCGATTAGGGTCTGAACAAAGTCCTCCCAGTACTGGAAGCGCAGGTTTGTCGTCTGTGGTGTGGGAGCCCGATCTCGAATCTAGAACACATAGCAAAATCGAAGGACTACATCTTGTAGGAACTGTGAGCATGCACAAATAAGTGTGAGAATCAGGGATGAACGGGTTCACTGTAGAAGAATTCATGCAAGATAGATAGATTAACGGGTTAGCAGATGGCTGCAAGGACCCACCAGAGATGAATGAAAGTATAAGGGAAGAATGTACTAATATTGGACAAGAGTAAAGGATACATAGGCAGGTTCAGAAAGAATGCATCAGGACAGAGGTGAGACTAAATGATCTTGAGTGAATGGGTGAGTGAACAAAAGAACGAAGTCGCAAATATTGCTAAGTCAAAGATGAAGGAGTAGAACGAATGAACAGAGAGGTGAATCACAAGTTGAAATACTAAGAATGAATGGCTTGACGATAACTAAATGGACTGACAAATCAGGGCAACAGGAGAAGATGGGTCAAAATCAAAGTGATGGACAAAGGATGCGAGGGCGGCTAGAGACAGAGATTTAAGATGAGTGTTTAAAAAATTGGACAAGTGAAAAGGGAGACGGATGAACCGGTGTGAAAATATGGATGTTTCACACATTGTTTCCTTTGAGAGAGTTAGGATTGTGCCGCAATGAATGGGAAGTTGCAAATGCAGGTATGACTAAAATCCTCTATAATTGCCCACTAACCCAAAGCGACTACCTTAAAGCAAAATCTATTAAATGGAGCACAACACGAGGTGACATTCATAGAAAAGGTGCAAAGCGTTCCTGAACTCACAAGGGCAATCTCCACGTTGAAGGCCCGGAATGCAAAAGCGAAACGTCGCTGAGGTTGTGGAAGTGCCAGACAGCAGAGGTAGTTGTAGAAGTCTGCTTTTCTTACGATAAAAATAAAAGCGTTAATCCAACTCACCTCACCAAATTACAGCAGTAATCCTGGTGACTATAACTCTTTGATGAGACAGAACGGGAGATTTGTTGTCCATATATGCGGGCGTTTCTTAAGCCAGCAGTCACCATCATCTACTTGTAAATGAAAATAACCGCAAACTGGAAAAAAAAAACTATACAGCCAAAGCAAAAAGTAATACAGTGGTGCTCTAATGTGTCTTTGTCATGATTTCAACAAAATAGGGGAATCGCTAAAAGACATTCTAAGCACTTTTATAATTTTGTGCGCTCACACTTTGGTGCAGTTGAGAAAAACGAACCCACGTCACCTTTAAGCGGTGTCATGCCTGTAATCGACCAATAGAAAAAAGGCGTTCTATGATTTCTTGTTAAATCAAAAATAAAGCAAAAACATCAAAAAAATGTTTACCTCCATCTCTCAATAAGTCAAACTTAAGGCTACGACTCCGTAACGCAAATTTTCTTGAAATGATGGCAGAAATTTTTCCCAACGGATGACCTTGAAATTCCACAAACGAAGACTGGACTTTTTGTATGGTGGATTGGTGAGTGATCTTTGTTGGAGCTGTCAAAGAATGTCCCTTCTGCCAAAACGTTCCCGCTTCTTGAAACCAGGCGAAGAGGATCTGATAGCTTCGGAGGAGATAGACGAATGTCCTGAAGGTGCTGTAGTCTCCAATGTCGCCAGCATTCGGCATATCGACCAACAGCGCCAAAGCTTACCTACTTTCAAGTGGCGCAGTCACTTTCTCTATTTATTGGAAACTTCAAGGTAGTCAGTAGTCTTTTTGCATATTGGGCCCATGTTATACTATTTCATAACTTTTATATTATTTGCAGGGTTGTTGTGGTTACCGGAGAGACAGGAAGCGGAAAGTCGACCCAGCTACCACAGTACATCTACGAAGCAGGATGGGTTCGTGGAACATCAAAATATATCGCCGTGACGCAGCCTCGACGCGTAGCAGCTATCAACTTGGCAGCGCGGGTGGCAGAGGAGAAGGACTGTAATTTGGGCAACGAGGTTGGCTACCTGATTCGGTTTGAGGACTGCTTCAAGCCGGGTCGGACGTCGATTCTCTACATGACTGATGGAATGCTGATTCAGGAGATGACTCGTGATCCTCTGCTCCAGAACTATCGCGTGATTATGCTTGATGAGGTGCATGAACGCTCTCTCCAAGTGGATTTGCTTATGGGTTTGGTGAAGAAGATTCTGCGTAAACGCCTGCATGATCTGCGAGTAGTGGTCTCGTCGGCTACTTTGGAGGCGCAAAAGTAGGTTTCTATCTTTTCAACTAACAACTGGTAGTAAATCAATTTGTGATTGGCCATCAGTACTTTTTAAACCTGAAATAACTCATTGTTTTGTAAACGTCGTTCTTAAGCTCAGTTTGATTAAAAACCCATAAGCGCTGCTATTTTACCTGTGGTGGCGGTTCTTATGCCTTTTGCTTTGTCATTAAAACACCTACGTGCAGGGAAAATGTGCTTATTGTCATATGCTTCCATAGTTCTTAAAGGTGCACAACCGACCAATATCGTGGTGGGGTGAAACTAGGGAGCTAGAAACAGGAACAGATGGGAAGAGGCCAGACTGGCATGCAGTTAGCTTAGAAGTCACTACGCATTCTTTAAATGTGTGGGAATATCAGCGCAGGACGTTTTAATTGAATTCGATCCTGGTAATTTCGTTCACGTCAGAGAGATAGCCATCACAAAATACACCTCCATGAGTAGAAAACTTGTCTAAAGTAAGTCTCGTGTGACTTATTCTTCAACTCGTTTTTTGATCGAAAATTGTTTTAGAAATCGTCAGCTGCCAGTATTAAGTGTTCCGGTTAAGTTGCCTGTCATTACTGTTTTCAGAGTATCGGAGTAGCTTAAGAAGTGAATAGCAGTTGCGATTAAATTTATGTTCTTTATTCTTCCCATGACATCAGACTAAATCTCAGTGTAACAAATGATGCTGTTTTATAATTTTTGTTGACGCTGTAGGCTATTGAATATTAGACTATAGAATCATCGAGTTTATTGGCGAAGTGGCGCCGTTTTGCAAAATTGTGAATTACTTTGGGTTTTATAAGGCGTGTGGATCTGTGAATCGCTCCAGTACATAGGTTCAGAAGAGCTGAAATACCTTCAACATTCTGCTAATAAAACTAAAAACTTTGCATTGGTGTTATCAGAAGCCTTCCAAAGTGAATCTTTGATAGTTTGGTTTAGCCCTAACTTCATTCTATTCCACGACAGCTTCATCAGCTACTTCAAGGACCTGAATCTGCGAGAGCCCATAGTAGAAGAGAGTGACACCCGCCTCAAGCCCGTCTCCCACTTGCACGTGGAGGGCAGGCAGCATCCCGTGCGTATCTTCTACCTGCGTGATCCCACACCCTGCTACGTTACCGAGGCGCGCAAAACCATCTTCAAGCTGCATGAAGATCGGCCTCTCGGCGCGGATATTCTCGTCTTTCTGACAAGTAGGCCATTCTCTTCATTCGTAGCACTTGCTGACCTCGTTTTCATTCAGTTTTTTTCAAAGACATTCTTTAATATAGGCCAAGATGAGGTGAATCGGTTGGTGAGTGAGCTAGTCGACGAGTACCGCGACCGCAAAGAGCGGTTCATCCAAAAACAGCAGCAATCAAAAGAGGGCCGAGGAGGCGGTGACCGTTACCCCCCTCTACGTAGCTTGCCCCTCTATGGTGGACTTCCAGCGCACGAGCAGCTCCGCGTTTTCGAGCGTCCTACGCACGCCGTTCGCACCGTTGTCGTGGCAACCAATGTGGCGGAGGCCAGTGTCACTTTGCCTCGGATTGGCTATGTCATCGACTGTGGGTACGCACGTCTTCGTGCCTACAATGCGAACAACTCGCTTGAGGCTCTTGTCACCCTGCCCGTCTCGAAGGCCTCGGCTAACCAGAGAGCCGGTCGGGCGGGTAGAGTGCGAGTGGGAGAGGTGATTTGCCTGTAATTAAGTCATTACATCCTTACATTGATAAGTTGGGAATTCGTATCGCAAACATTCCAAATCGTAATGTTTGTTGGTAGTCTTTAAGTAGCTCTTTAATTTTAGGTTTACCGTCTTTATACCGAGGATGCCTACCACCATATATTGCCACGATTTACAGCCCCAGAGAGCCAACGCAGTGATCTCGCTACCTCCCTGCTTCGTCTAAAGACTCTGGGTGTGGATTCTCTGGTGCGCTTTGATTGGCTGCCACCAAGGCCACCCGCCCGACATCTTGGACAAGCGGCGGAGCAACTCGTTTCCTTGGGTGCGCTGACCGTAGCCGCGGGAATGCCAATGACCGAACGAGGTGCCCAGCTGAGTGCTCTATGCTCCGCTTGTGGTCTCACCCAACCCGCCGCTGCTGCCGCTCTTTTGGGCGCAGTGGAGGAGGGCTGCACCCTTGAGGTGGCCGCAATTGTCGCTCTTATGCAGGTAACTAGTGTGACAGCCGTGGTCGGCCTGCTACTCCGGACAGAAGACAAGCCTTATAGCCAAATCCTGAGTGGTATTCCCATTATCTTCACAGCTGCAGAACGTCTTCGTCTCAAGTGCTAGTTACAGACGGACTGCTGACCGTAGTCGGCGCGTACTTTTTGGCACCACCGCCGGAGACCACCTCACCGAACTGAATGCATTCACCGCCTATGAGACGCAGGCGTCCATACTAAACCAGTCGGAGTTGCAACGGTGGTGTCAATCCGTCGGGCTGAATGCTCGAGCGCTGCAACACGCCCTCTATCTGCGAGATCGAATTCTCGGGATGCTCCAACGATCTAAAATGCCCTGTGTGGCTGTGGAGCCGCCCGGAAATCCGTTGCCTATCGTGCGCGCTCTTCTTCGTGGCTTCTTCATGCAGGTAATGCTCATTTACCATCGGTAGTAACCCTGGTTTCGCGTCGTCAGGGTCACCTAGCTTGCTGTGCACATTAAGCAGTAGCAATGTTCAGAGGAACGACAAAAACATTGTTGTTTCAAGGTCGCCCACCTGGCTCCATCGGGTACACACTATACGACGGTACGAGGAGACCACGCGTTGCGGCTCCATCCGAGTTGCGTGCTTTATGCCGCGCCCTCAACGGCCCGCTGGCCGAAGTGGATCCTCTTCACCCGTGTCCACCTCAGCGCTCCTCTCAGCGATAACCCAGCAGCAGCAGCCACCGTCTCCCCCACCGCCACGTGCGTGTCGGGTGTGAGCGCCATTCAACCGGATTGGCTAATGGAACTGGCGCCTCACTACTTCCAATATGGCACGGCTAGGGAGCATGTGCTCAACAAATAGAGTAAATCAGTTTCTTAATTACGTTTCGCATTTGTAAATAAACTGTATGTTGTGGCATAATTGGGCTTCTTTTGGGTCGACTGAAGCGTTGTCGTCTCGGCAACTACGTTGGACTGGTTGAGGGTGGGTGTGATACCCTCTCGCAATTTCAATTCAGTTTTGTTAGCTAGTGGGCGTTAGTGCGCTCACATAGCTTCACTCTGTGCTGTTTAAAGGCATTAGGGGTTCGTAAAGTTGCGATGATGGGTAGTAATCGTGTGTCAATGATAACCGACATCTTGACAAATTTCGGGATAATACCCGTAAGGAAGCGATGATGACTGCAGAATGCTACTACAATTGC